ACCCCCACAACAGTGTCACCCATGTTACCCTGCCCTTTAATCTTTACCCATAGGCTCTCAGCTTGCTCTTCATCCACCCCGAGGCAGAGCTCCACGCATTCTAGTTGCTCCCTCACATAAAGAGCAATTCCACCACCTCGCCTTCCTGGCCTGTCTTTCCTAAAAAGCACATAGCCATCCATGACAGCATCCCAGTCATGTGAACTATCCCACCATGTCTCTGTCACTGCAATGAGATCATGGCCCTGCGACCGCACACAGATCTCTAACTCTTCCTGCTTATTCCCCGTGCTGCGTGCATTGGTATACAGGCATTTCAGAGAGCCACTCAAGCACGCAGGCTTTAAGCACGCAGGTCCTTTAACTCTTCATCATTTCTCAATTACTTTTCCAAAGCAACAGCCAGCAGAGCTAATCCTTAGTTTGGGAAACATTCCCATGTTGGAGCCCAAGGACAGTGGGACAGTTGCTGGGAAGATTAGACCTTTGGGCGGGTCACCTCTGCCACTCTGACTCCCATCCTTGTTCAGACTTCACCAGCATCTCTTGGTTCTCATAGAAGTGTCAGAACCCATATTCCACCTTTCAAGGAGTGAGTGGACTGTGGACACAGTCTTGCCCTTTTTGGCTTGTGAGGATCCTACCTTTCCCAGAGGGAGGGAGTTCCACTTTGTTAATTGAGTGTGTTACCTCCCTGCAGCTCTTATTGTGCTCTATAAGGAGATGACACCAGGATCCTGCTGTGGGAATGACCTGTCATCAAGCTGTCTTCACTGAGGAAAAGAGCCAGCTGGCTGAAGCCAGTCCTGTTGTTCCCCAAGTGACCCTGCACCATACCCATCACACCCATCCTCAAGTCCTTTGAGATAAATGGCCTGCGTCTGACAGTGACTCGGCTCTGCTCGCAGCTGGCTTTGCACTCTCTCTGCTCTCTGACTTTGAGGTCCTCAGTGAGGAAGCTGGCTGTGTCATGGGGACCTGCTCAGTCCATCCCTGCCTCCACAATCAGATCTGTCAGAAAGGCTTTGCACCATACACATTCTCCAGAGAAAGAAAGTAGGGCCTCCATCACCACACTTTCCTCCGTGGGACCGTGTGTGTGAATGAACTGCAGCATGCTCTGGCTGGACTCATGAAGTGGTATGTGCCGGCTGAGGGCTACCCCTCTGCAATGCAGCCCAGGGAGACCCTTGTTGAGTTACCTGGCAACATGGCACTGGCTATGATAGCCAGCACTAGGTGTGGGCCAAGCGCTTTCTTTCATGTCATCTATGGAAGCGTCCCTCCAGTCACACACATGAAAAGACACCCTTCTTTCCAGGAATTGCCTAGCAGGAATTGGAGACACCTCTCTGGGCCATTAGCACAGCTTCTGAGGAGACCACTGAATGGGGCCAGTGAAGATGGTTTGAAAGAAAGCTGGCTAACAGAATGTAAGTTTTTTACCAAAATACTGAAATCAATTATTATCAGAATTGTAAGCAGTAGGATTTATTGTTCTTTGAGGTAAGAATTAGTTCCAGCTTCCTCTCAGACATCACTGACTTTCAACACCATAAATCCTGCTGTTCAATTCAGTACCTTTTATGGGAAGTGAAGAAATTAGTTAATTTCCCATTGTTCCCTCCCCACTTATTAGTGCTACAAAAGATTGGGTAATTATGAATAGAACTGCCAAGCAAAATGAAAGTTCTTCTTTAAAAATATATTTTAATTAACTCTGCTGGGTTCATGTATTTCTTAGGAAATGCTGACTATGCCTTCTGACTTTGAGCTCTGCTCTTATGGAGATAGAAGACCCCAAGCACTAGGCAGGCCAGAGGAGCAGAAAAGGCTCCATATTCACACCAGAGGTCCCATGGAAGCTGATTAGGTGGCTTTTCTCTGTTGAGGGATTGCACTCCAAAGCTTGTTTCATCTACTCAAGCTGAGCAGCAAAGGTGCAGAAAGCTATGTCTGAGAAAAGACAGAAAATGGGAGCTTAGAGCTTGGTGCTGGGAGGCATGACGATCCGGTCATGCCAGCATCCCAAATTGGCAGTGCTGGGGAGGGACTCCCTGGGGTGTTAGCCCCGTGGTTTTATCTTGGTAGCACTTGCCTGGAGCTGCATGCCATAGACTATATGAGCTGCAGAGGAGGAACACTGGCAGGGATGTGGCTCCAGTGGGTGAGAATAGCTTCTCCCAAAGCCTGGTAATACAGGAATGGCTGAAAGCAGCTCTATAATTGAAGGGGTGCACCGCCATGTGGTATCTGATCTGCTTCGTTCAGTCTCAGTATTATGCTGTGAAAAGGTTTGGATGCCTGGACAATTTTTCTTTTCAATAATCCTTCCTGATTATCAGCTATCACATTTTTAATGTAAGTACATTTACATAATGCTCAAGGCAAATTAATATGAAAAAGAAAATATAAAATTTGGCATATTCTTAACAAAAAACAGTTACAACAAAAAAGAAAACGTGCCACATTTTCCAAGTAGACATAGTGGTAGGAAACTCCAAACTCAGAGCCAGTTCAGATGAAAATGCAGTCTCATGCCTTTCACGCCATGGTGCAGATGAGCGATGTCTACTGAGCAACACACTCTGGCCTTATGGGAACTCCTCAAACTTCCAATTAATGACAAGGAAACTTGTGTGTGTGCAGTATTGCCCAGAGCAAATGCAAAGCCCCTGTAAAAGTCTCTAGCGCAATGGGCGTTTCACAAGTTCTGACTTTGTAATACAAGGCTTTCTAGATGGAGAGTGAATTGTGGCTTATCAATAAAAAATTAAAGAAATTCAATTTTAGAATAAAATCAAAATAGATTTACAGTGAAAACTTTTACAGCAAATAGTATTGCCTTGCTTCTTCCCCCTGCTATTTTCCGTCATGAGGAGGAAATGTAATAAATAACTATATTAAAATAATGACTCTTCCAGACCTTGTAGCGTTCATTTTAATAGACGCTATTTAAGTACACACAGAAATATAGATATCTACCTTTCAAACGTTGGTTACAAAGATTGGGAATGCTGCCAGGAAAATGGCCTTTTATATTTCCCTAATAGATATCAAAAACGAAACAATTTTTATGTTGAAATTGCCTTTATTTTTGAATCCATAAATATTTGTTACTGACAAAAGTGGAAAAATCCTTAAGACTCTAAATTTTACTAAACTGATAATATTTTTGTTTACAGTACATACAGAATGTGCTTTTACAGGTAAGTATAACAACAAGAATAATACAGAGAAAAACAGTCAAATACTGCTCATCTTGAAGCTTATTTAATGGTTAACCAAGAGTCTGTGCAAAGTTACAGATACAAATGTACTTCCTCTTTAGTACTACTGTATAATAAACATGGAATCCATAAACTGGGCTAAAGCACAAAAATATCCACTTAATCCCCTCTTAGGAAATATCGTCCCCCAAACTAAAAATAGTACAGTAAGAAGTGTCTTTCTCAGAGCCAAGAAATTCTTGCTACAAAAATTTCTAACAGGTTTACAGACTGAAGGTCAGAAGCTATTACGAAGCACATGGGCAGAACGTCAGGATGGAATGACGCCGTGTTGCTGCGGTGGTGACAGCGCTGATGGAGACCTCCCAGACATCGTGGGGTCACAGCAGAGACACAGGAGGTGGTTTCGCTAGCTGCTGAGATTATAAATCGCTTTCAGTTGACATCAGTGTGTTCAAACAAAGGGATTGTTCCAATGCTCTCCCTATCCCAGGGCTCCAGGAGGTGAAATACCTGGAGGTTGGTTGGTTTTCCTAGTTGGATTTTGGGCTCAGTGAGGGCACCTCCATTACAGCCTTGAACCAGCTAAGAGAGACCGGGAACGATACCTTCTATGATCTAGTTATGAACATATGACACAGAAGTGGCTATTCGCTCAGAAACAGCCCCAACACAGTCTTATTGCTAACAACACTTTTCATGAAAACATTTAAGCCTCCTTCTCACTTCTTTCCCATAATATGTTTTTACTCATCTGAAATATACCTGAACATCAAATCTATACATATTATTCATATTTCAAAGAGACCCTCCTTCCAATTCATTCACTAAATCTGAAACAAAGCTAAACTAGCTATTTTTCCATCGTACAAACTGAAGATGGCAAACTGATCATAAATTAGATCACTTACAAGAAACACAATTAAAGTTACCCTGTTTCGTGATGGGTTTGTTTGCTGTGGAGGAAGAAGTTGAACAAATCTTCCCAGCTACCAGTAACTATCCATCTCTTACAAAACCATGATTCCAGGCTCTTGCTATCTTCTGATGACAAAGCTTCTGATTGATAGTCACAAGAACAAAAATATGCATACTGGAAGCCTAGATTCATGGAATTAGCTTTGCAGCCTGCCAGGAAAGCAGGACAGTAGGTAGAAATTAAATGTAGGCCAGGAAAGGAGGGCTTATTCCTGGGTAACTGTCCCTACTTCTTCCCTGCCCTTCCCACCCCCACTCCCACCCCCACCACCAAATAACAGAACATTATTTATAAAAGGAACATTAAAACATTGAAAAATATTTCATTTTCATTTTTTCTTTAAAACACAATTCACTGTCGTTAGAAGACTTTTATGATAAAATTTCCATTCCATATGGTGATCTGTGTGGTTCATTAAAAATAGTTTTCCGCATTTCAAAGAATGAGTCAATATATTTTGGAAGATTAAACTGTTACAGGGTCAGTCAGAACTTACTGATTACTACAGTATGTATACAAATGTGTGTGTGTTGGTGTGTGTATATACATATACATACATATGTCTGTATTAATGAGAAAGTTGTATAAAACCCAATGCAACTCACTATTACATGTTGCTGCTTGGGGAATGTGGATACTTATCAGTTTGTAGGAAATAATATAAAGTTTTCAATATCACCCTCCCCCAGTCCCTGCACATGCACTCTGGGAACTGGATGCTCCACAGATACGTATTTCCACCTGTAGATTGGAGAAAAAGACAGATCAGTCCTTCAGAGTATATTAGATTAATCAAGGCAGATTATATTTTACTATAGAGAGGAATGTAACCGCTTCCTGCTTTTCTCCTGAGTACAGAAGGAGGTGGTGACTCAGACATGAGGAGAAGAAAGCAGAAAAGTCAAAGTACAAGTAACAGCATCTCTAAGTACTACTGCCTGCTAGTGGGACCATGTCCAGAAGGAAAGCAGTAGGATTTGGGAGAAGTTGCCCTTGCCAGCTCCAACACTTTCATTCTGGACAGACACTGGATTACAACACATCAGACACAATGTGGTAGGACAATGGTTTTCTGGCCAACAAGATCAATAAAAATGTTTGCTGTTCTGCAGTGTCTATTTTGAGAGAGTCTCAAAGAACTTTTTAGACATTATGGTATGAACCCGCACAATGCCTCTCTGGATCTGGAAATTGTGACTATTGCCATCACATTTTGATCACAGGAAACCAAAATACTGGGGGCCAGGCTGTAGGTCACGACTCCCAGTCTTGGATCATGTGTCCTTTCAGTGAAAAACTCTCAAGAATAAGGGATAAGGGAAAGAAAAAAATCAAATAAGAACACCTGTGCATGCTGAAATACCATTGCTCAAGATATCAATCAATTCCAGCCCATGCAGTAAGCCACAGGAACACACAGTTCTCAGAAACAAACTGTGGCCATTCAGATAAGGGTGTCTTCTCAAAGAAATTTGTTGAAATTTTTCTATGGTGGTGGCAGAGTCCCTGAAGAGGTTTTGCCTAGAAAAGGCTTTTTGATGGTTCTTGTGGGACACAACTGTTTAAAACAGTTGCATGAGTGGAAGAGAGCAGGAGATGGGCCCAGCATTTCTTTGGAGGATTATTGCCCAGATAGTACAGGCTAGCAAAAGGCCTGTGACATTTGTCAGTCAGAATAAGGGAAGGCTCTGATGTCAAATGGCCTGGAGCACAGCACAGCGCAGCATCTGCACAGGGTACTTGAGTGAAAAGCTTCCGTATTTGCACCAGGTCCAGCAGCTTCCTTGTTCATGAACTGAACATTTAAACATTGGGACATATGGCCATGTAAATGGAAAGAGAGGAGTGTTCACTTACCCATGGCCTTACTTGGTTACCTCTGCTCCATAGCCTATGCCACCTCGAGTCCTGGAGACTCTAGAGTGGACTCTCCTCTCCCAGTGTTCACATACCCTTGCTTGCAGAGGGGAAGATCCCAGATTTGTCTGGACCAAGAGGAGAATGGAAGAGACTCCTAACCTCAGCAGAGACTGCCTCTCCATCAGCCATGTATGTTTCTGTTCTCTTCAAATCAGCCACAAAACTTCAGACAACAGGGAGGTCACCAAGGGCATGTTTTCACATGGAACTGCCTTTTAAGAAATATTCAGTGACTGAGCTGAGGAACTTGGAGGTAGTCAGGGGAGAGGAGTGTCCATCAAAGTAAGGAGTCAGGAGATGAGGTGTAAGCTCTGGAGAGGCCTTTCCTCTTTTGTTCCCATGTCATGATCTGCCACAGTGATCCATATAGAAATGTGTGTGCCACTCAGAGAGATTCTGCCCAAGGTTGCACAATAATGAGCCTGACAACACGAACCATGGAGACAGTTATTTGTTCCTTCACAGCTCAGTTTCCGTCAAACAAAGCCCCAGTACTTCTCTCAGATGGAATCTATTCAGAACACAGTCTCTATTGTGTGGGGCAGAAGTAAGCCCACGAGCTAGGCTCAGCAACGCCAGGACAGTGTGGGAAAGAGAAGGGCCTTGAATCTCTTTTGAAAACTGCAGCATAATGAAAGCCAACCTTTCTATCCCACTGAGGTTTGCCTCTAAATCCCACCAGGGGAGACAGCACACTCCTGTTTCCTATCCTGCACCAGCAGAACCAGGTGCACATTATCAGCCTCCACACGAGTCTCAAGCTCAGAACAACCTATGGCCATTTTATGCTCCAGAACTGAAGTGTGGAACTGGGAACTATAAGGCCATTTTTAGGGAAGGACAAAGGTCAGAGTTAATTTAAATGGAGTTTAGTGAAGAGTAATGGAGGAAAAGAGTTGTGGAAATGCAGCACATGAAGAGAAAAGTACTGTATGGGAATGTGTTACGACCTGAAGTCAGTCATCATTTGATCCTGAAGAGGAAGCATGCTTGTCATTTGGAACAGTAACATGGGTGCATGTGCGTGATGAGGCTTTGCGTATGCACAATGGTTTATGAATGCTGGAGAGAATCCAGCATTTATGCTGTTACAGCGCTTGGTCTGGCTGGCCTTCAAAGCCTCTGACATCCTTTCCTGGTCACAGAAGTATGTTCTAGTGTGAGTTAGTTCTACAAAATTTGATAGGAACAGAAGTACAAGGAAAAAAAAAAAAAAAAACTAACCAACCCCCTCCCCCAAAACACAACAACAATAAACATCCAAACCAAAAAAAAAGCAAATCCCCACCCACTCAGAACACCAAAGATAAAACCCTCACAAATTCTGGACTCATAAGTCTATTTTTAAAAGATCTCATGAATATGCAGTATCTAATTAGGATTATATCAGATATATAACATGCCCATTAATTACAGTTATGCTGGATATATAATTTATATGCATGAAATGTAACTGTCTGCGTGGCTAGGATTGGGACTCAGTAGAACTGGCATTTGGAAGGCTTTTGGGGGCCATTACATGGTGAGACAATCATGGAAAAATTACTGAGCTGCTTTTTGGTATACTGACACAGTTAGTTTTGTGTTTCTGCTAGGGGTCTAGAAAATGATTTGCTACACATGGAGTTCTAGGCTAGAACTGAATGAAGGAAATATGCTCAGAAACAGGGAGATTGGGCCAGGAGAAAATGCCACCAGGAAAGGAAACTTCTGGAGAGAAATCCAGGCTCAGTGAAATTGGTGGTAGCCTTGCCTTACAGGAGTTTCAGTAGAGTCAGGACTTCTAGCACAGGTTAGCAGTGCAAAGCTGAACAAATTATGGCGCTTTACGTTCAGCAGTCGCAAGAAGCTGAAGGAACAGAAATCCTATTCCTCCTTCTTATTTATATGTTGTAGACACCAAGATACTAGAATGAGTGGGGAAAGGGTCTAACAAGCATTTCAGCATATTTGTGCTTATTGAACACATCAACCCCACTACTTCCTACACTGAGAGAGCAGGCAATTTGTAGGCACTAGTATATTTTTATCTTATGAATATATTTAATATAAACTAAAACTTTATTTCTCACCCAGGCTATTCTTGTCCCTAGATCTGCCAGTGCCCTAGGAAAGTCTGCCCTTGAATTCACTCCAAGGGTGAGGAAGAACAGATATATGGGTGCTGGCTAATATCAAATGATCTGGAGGTGATCTCCATCAGTCAAAAATCTTAGCTACTTGCTACAGAAAGATCAAACATCAGGGCTGGCATGAGAGATGGCAACAGGGCCCCTTCCTGCCAGGAAGAGGTGTTGCTTTTTCTCCTCCCTGTCATGGGCTGCATGAGAGTGATTCTGCTTGTGGCAGTTGAAAAGTCCAAAATTCATAAAAACAGTGAGATAGTGCAGGTGAGCCCTTGGAAGGAGCCATCTACTACTATGGCTTTCTTTGACAGAAACTGAAGTGTGTTAGGAAATATCCTCCATTATCCCTCACTATTGTCTGTCTGTTTGCTTAGGTTCTTCTTATGTCACCAAAGTAGGGGTGGCTTTAAAAACAATGTGGATGGGACTGTTAAGAGAAGTCTCTTCAGACACGGAATTGTTAGAGGTTATCTTGGCCTATAAGGCCACTGCAGTATAGGGTGCTCTGGCCACCCCAGTCCTTAATGTATATCTACAATGCACATGGTCATATCAAACAGTCACCTCTGTTTTGCTCGCTGTGCGGTAGTGATGGTGGTGTCCTGGAATATAATGCAGTTGTTCTACTGTGTTATGCCGTCGGGAGGCGAACGCTTGGCGCTTGGCAGAAGTTGGGTTCATACCTAAGGTATTGTACAAGTTATTTGAGGCACTAGGATGGGAGTGCATTTTTGTCATCCTGTAGCGATCCAAGACAGGTGTTGAAACAAAGACGTCTGTATGTGACAATGCTCGTGACATAGACTGCTCTGGGTACCCTGAACGCTCCGGGGAGAGCAGAGGGTCTTGGGAATGGAGGCGTTCTGCGGACAGAAGCTGTTCATCTGAGAGGATCCGTTCATAGGACATGCTAAACTCCTCAGGCATGATCCTCTCAGGGGACAGCACCCTGTCCTGGGACATGGCCCTGATGGGCCGACGGGGCCTATCCCTGTGGTTGGTCTGTTGCGACATTTTGATGACGTTGATAGGGAGAGTGCCTCGGGCCGCCAGGTCAGGCAGGTGTCTCCTCCTCATGTAATATTCATCAGCCTCTTTGTCCGCTGTGGGAAAAGAAAGAGAAACAGTTAAAAATGCCAGAGTTTTGTCCCATGGAGTGAAAAAGGGGATGTGTGCAGTGAACAATGCTTTGGAACAGCCTTCTGGTGAAACCCAAGGACCACCTACCAGCAGCTGAAACAGCACCAGCATCCGTGTCAGTGTGCTGCCTATTAGAGAGCCGCCAGACCTCTGTGGGTTGTGTGGACATGTTTGTGGCACACAGAAACAGTTTATAATTACATATAGACAAGTATAAGTCCCCATTTAATGTGTCACACCATCTTGCAACACGATCCCGTAGACTCTATATGCTGCCGAGTCCAGGTCATGGTATCACATGATTTATAGGAACAGTGAGTTTGGAGAAATTATTCAATGTCAACTTCACAGGATGCTTATAAAGGAGCATATGGAATACGACCTGGGACAGGTAAGTTTCCCATTCGGAGCAACTCATGCTTTGTTTCTGGACTCAGATGTGGATGTCTTGTGAAATTTGTGAATGACCTTGTCACATATTTAGTTACAAGTTTTAGTTACTATTTTTATATATTTATATTTGTGGTACCAAAGCAGCTCTGATAGTCATGGGATACTCTCTCTGAGACACTGAATCATCTATGTGAGATTTCATTTTCCAGCTTTTCCAGATATCTTGGTTGCTGTTATAGAGTTTTTTCCATGGAAAATTTGTTTGCTTCTTCTCTGTCTTAAGTGATCTCTGTGCTGCTCAGGAACTCAGCACATGCACACACACACATGCACACACACAGCTCTCCCTCTTTTCTCCTCCCCGCCCCCGTCCCTCCTTCATGGCTTTTAAAAAAGTGTCTTAGACTCAGAGGGTAGGTCAGCTACTGTAGGTATATCCCAATCTACCACTTTAATCCTAGAGCAGCTGGAATGACCTGACCAAAGCAACTTGCAATTTAAAGAAAATGTTCTGCATTAATTTCAGATGAAAAACACCTTCTGGAAAAGCTGTTTGATATTAATATATCTGAAGTTGGGATACTAAGATTGCCTAGTTGGAAGGCTGATCAGCAGTCCTTGGACTTCAAGCCCAGCACTGCTTGAGGACTGTTGTGACCTGCCTGTCTCTGTGGAGGTATAAAGTGTGGGGCATCAGTCCCTTACCCTTGCCGTAATGCACCATCATAAAACTAAGTGAAAGAGCACAATGTTAAGGGGCATGGGATACTCCCACCCTTCTGGATTGTCAGTGACTCCAGAAGATGCCATAGTGAGACTCATTCCAGACAGCTGGAAAACAGCTATCCTCTCCGTAGATGAGATGTCAGAGAACCCACTGATGTGCAGGAAGGGGACTCTCCAGGCAAAGGCAAGGTGAAATTCTCCACCTTAAGGAGCAAACAAGATGCCTTGCAAAGGAACCATATGGGAACAGCCTGGCACAGAGATTACTGAGCTGGAAACACACACGGTACCCACTGCCCACTTTTCCTTCCAATCTTGGCCCATGTAATATTGCTGGTGGGCAAATACATCATCTCTTGTATGTCCAGGCCAACTCCTTGGACCTGTCATGAAATTCCTTTTTAAGGTCTTTTGCCTCTAAGACTATGATAAAGATCATGAAAAAGAACCCCTTTTGTTTTCTCAGCTCCAGTATTTCATTCAGCTAATATACGTGATGTAAGATGAGAAAATATTGGATGGCTGAAGAGGAAAATTCCACATACTTTGAGTTTCTGAGGTTGCTCAAATCATAAAAAAAGATCAAATCTTTGCTGCAGGACAAGCTAGGCAACTGTGGGATGGGAGAGGCAGCTGGGACAACCTCCATGACTTTGAGTCTATGTAGGCACTCAACATATCAAGTAACAGAAACATGGCCTGGAAATTGTCTGTTCACTCTGACACAGCTATAAACCTACAGGTTTTACATGTCACATTGGCTGAGAAATGAAGCCTCTTGGCTGGCTGTTCCATGAGGCAAGGTGTTTTCAGGGGAAATGCCAGTGCTTCATGATGCGTGGTTGGGTGCCGACAACATTCCAGAATTTTTGTCAAAAGAGAACTGTTACACATTGGTGCCTTGAGCTCTTCATCCAAATCCCAGAGTGCTATAAGCAGCCTGTGCTGAATGGTCTCACTCACTAAAGTTCCCGAGCTCCTCTCCCAGATGCTCCTGTGAAAAGTTTACAAAACCCTGCAGATCTCTGAGGAGGGTGGGTTGATTCTGCTGCCTCAGCATCCAAAAGGACAAGCTGAGAATGTGTACTGAAATGCATTGGCTGCTGACACTGCTGTTGTTGCCAACATTTTTTTATGGCCTATGCAACGCCAGGACATGAAGATTACCCAGAGCTCTTCTCTGCTGGCATGCTTGCTACTGACAGGATTTGCTCAGCAGGACATATACTGTAGGAATACTCTTTTGCAGTCAAAAAGTTCTTGGAAAAAGTTCTCATTGTAAATGTCAGGCAGCAGCTCTCCAGGGCTCAAACTCTTGTGGCTTTAAAATCAGCTTCTAAGCCTGAGAAGGACCAGGATAATTCCGCATGGCCACAGTAATTTTAGACAGTTTTACTCTATAATATGGCCACAGACAGACTTGCCCACAGACCTCATAATGATGTGCGAGCCTGGATACAGAATAGGGGCTGAACAATTAATGCTCTTGTACCTGGTCTCTGCTCTGGATGAGATGTTCCACTGGATTGACTCAAGTGACTCTAAACAGATGTAATTAAAGCAGAGAACATTCCAAATGGAGATGTGCTTGGATGCTCACACCTGGCTGTGGTAATTACCAGCAGAAGCGAAACCAGTGTAAGTGAGGTTTACAGTGGTTTGAGTCTACTAGTGAGATAATAGAATCAGCTGATTAAAAGTGCCTTGTTCTTTGCTAATTTAGATAAAAATTACAGCATGGTCTACACTTCAAAAAGTTTTGCCAATTAGGAGAATAAAAAAATATTCTTTTCTTCCCTCTTTCTCTAAAAAGAAACCTCTACCTCTATAAAAAGTTTAGAAGTTGCATGGGCTTTTACTGGTAGTGCTTAATCCATTCAGAGACCTGTTTCAGTTAAAGGTGCTCCTAAGCTCATACAAGCCCTCTCCTTGCTGCTGAGAGACATGTGTAGATGTTAGCACAGCTATTCCAGGGAACTTTCTCAAGTGTAGATAAACTTCACATATCCATCACAAAGGAATCAAAACTGAAATGATAGCTTCCCCTGACAAACAAGCTGGTTTAAGCAGGCACCAGACAGACATTTAACAGGCTGTTGCCTCTGAAAGGCGGTGTCAATTTAATGAGAGTCACTGAACCAATCATGGAGAACGTAACTTGACAAAAGGCAGAGCATGTTGTATCATGTGCATGCCTTTGCATCGAGGGACGAGATCAGTGGAGCTGTGAACAACAGGATTTCTGTACCCGGGAACAGGAAAGAATGAAGGCACCAGGTGCTTCACCCACTGGGTTCAGGGTGGGAACTGCTGACACCTGGCTGCATTTGATAAATCTAAAATGTCTCCAGGACTTGCAAACAACCAGTCTCATTTACCTCATCCTCATTGCACGAACAATTTCACTGGGATAATGAGGCTTTAATACTGCTACCCCTTATTGTTTTATTGGGGTTTATGGGATAACGTACATTTTTAATTTCATCCAGAATAAAATTCCAAACCAATAAGTTTCTCCCTCCTTGTTGTGCATAAATGTTCAAAAATATGTCCTGAGTGGACTCCAAAAAGTTGGAAGCCATGAGAGGACAGAAAGAAAATGCTGGTCAGTTGATTGACAGAGATTTCATTTCTTTAAGCCAGTATCATATTTCTGGGGCTTTGAAAATGATTTTCAAACATGTGGAAGTGGAATTACTGGAGATCATTTATGCTGGACAATATATCTCTCCTCTCCTCTCCTCTCCTCTCCTCTCCTCTCCTCTCCTCTCCTCTCCTCTCCTCTCCTCTCCTCTCCTCTCCTCTCCTCTCCTCTCCTCTCCTCTCCTCTCCTCTCCTCTCCTCTCCTCTCCTCTCCTCTCCTCTCCTCTCCTCTCCTCTCCTCTCCTCTCCTCTCCTCTCCTCTCCTCTCCTCTCCTCTCCTCTCCTCTCCTCTCCTCCTCTCCTTTCCTCTCCTCTCCTCTCCTCCCCTCCTTTTTTCCCTTTTGGTAGTTTCTGGAACATTAGTCAGGATTGGTCTCTAATACAAAACTTGCATAAAATCTATGTTTGAGCACTTCATCTGACTTGGCTTTAGGATAAGCTAACTTGTCCCTGAGACAATTTTTTTTTTCCCTTTGTGTTGGAGGGATAGCCTAGAACAAGTGCCTCGTACTCTCACATCTCACCTCAACTTATTTGAGATAAGTAAGAGGAAGCCATCACAGTAAGGCACAGCACGATTCCTCTGTTACTGTAATTAGAGAAACAAAGTACTTTTGTGCAATTCTGGGGAGAGAATGTGGAAAAGCCAAGGGATATTTTTCTTCTATATGTTAATATGATTAAAATACATATATGACTGTATGTATGGCCAGCATGGTAATTTCTTTACCTTTCTTAAAGGTGTCCCTCTGCAATTCCAATGTATTTCCTCTTTGGGTTTATCTCTCCTGTTTTAATTGATTTAAAAATTTTCATGTCACCTAGTCATTTGTGATGATTCTTTAGCCAATACTCTCTAGTTTAATATGCCTGAAAATACTAGCTTCCTTTCTGACTGACCTTTCTCACTTAGCTGGAAACAACAATTTCCTGGAGTGCTGCATAGGCCAGAATTAATACGGCTGCTCTTGTTCAGCCACATATTCCCTGCACTCCATCCACCACTGTTTTTCCCATGCATCAAACCGGTAGGGCTGCCAGTGACAGTGACAGTGCCCGGTAGGGCTGGCACAGGATTTTCCAAAAAGGTGCTGTTTCTGGCCGTCAGAAATCCTCCTAGCTGGCTACACAGGTAGCAAACCTAGATGCGTTTCCTTATGCCAGTGCCCTGCAGTGAGCGCCAGGCAGATAAAGAACCATGGTACCAGAAAACTAACTGCTGGCATGGGAGGGATCCAGTTCTAGCAGGCTCTTATCTGGCCAGGAAACTGCTTCCTAGTGCTCTGGAGAAGTCCTGGACATCTTCAGCCCCTTGCTCTGGAAGGAAAAGAAGTCATAGTACTGCTTCCTCAGTCAATAGTTCGCAGAGGGGAGTGCCTGCCCATTGAACCAGCAGCATGGAGCTCCCTTTCCCAAGTCTGCAAGGGGCACATTCCCCAGGGAGGCACAATCTCTGGCAAGAGGGATAGGTGATCTCTTCCTTTGTCGTAAGAATCATTTAGATGAGTCCTCTGGAGTGCAACGTACTAGGCAAGAGAAATTAGGCTTATTATGTAGCAGTGAGGTAGATAGTTTGCCTGAGCAAATCTGGAGTCAATGAGAGACTGGCACCTTCAGAATTTCTCATAAGACAGAGATGTCTGTCCTTCACTGGTTATAGAGATGTCTGAATGAAACAGAGAGACAAGATGCCTGATCACTGGATGGCTAAAGTAAAGTGAGGTGGATCTGACCTTACCCTTGCTGAGCTCTGTCTCCTCATCTTTGACAAGGAGATAGCAAGTAATACTTATACTGGGTATGCCTTGATAATTCAATTTAGATGTTCACGAGCAGACACTGTCCTTCAATGTTTGTCAGTACTAACTTTGGGAAAACAAGTGATCTTTAGCTGTCTGACAAGCCTGAAGATACCAAGATTTTTAAGTGAAACACATATTAAAAAAAAAAGTCTTTTGTTTGACTCATATAAAAATATTATGTTTGCTAATGACTATTTCATAATACATATTTTTAACTATTAAAGGGAGCACATTTAAAAATAAGGAGTTTTAAATATGAAAGATCAAAACTCGAAAACTTGAAAAGAGAAGCATTTACATTTTTTCCCAAATTTTTATGTTGTCTTTAGCTCCTTCATGTGGAATAGGAAAACGATATTGTTGGCATTTTACAGTGGAAGGCTTTGGAGCTGGGTGCCTAATTGCCTCTGGCTTTGGAGAAGCCCAGCTATCAGAATGTGGTTCTAGAGGTTCTGAGTATATGTAAGCCCAGGGGGAGTGCTGTGTACTTAGCACTTATGGATTTGAAACTTAGTTACTGATCTGAATATTTAGTTACTTAAATAAATGGTGGTTTGGCATTTATCAGCTCCTTTGCCTAACTACTACCCTAAGCCTAACCGCTAACCTTAAGCCCTGCTCTTCTGCCTTCCGCTCCTCTATTCCCTAAGGTCAAACCCAAATGGCTACCCTGAAGCCTGAATTTCTGCCCCCTTGCCCTCATTCTTACCCTATGTCTGAAACTAATCCCTAGCCCTGATCCATTATCTTGAAGTGGTAGACCAAGCTCTAGCCCTCACTCCTACCCAAACCCAAACTACTAAGCTACAAATCTAGTCATACACCAAACCTTGAGTAGAAAGCTGAAACCTAAACCCTGAACTATCACCCAAAACCTTTCTCTAATTTCACTAAGCACAAAACCCTTCGCTGATGCCTGCAACCTCAGTCCTAAGCTCCTCCCTCAAAGCCCCTAACTGTCCATCCATCTTGTAAGCCTAGCTCAAAGGCATTTGGCCCCTGGGAGGCAGAAGAAGAGCAAGGCCCTGGGGGTCTTGGGGTGAAAGCACATGGAGATGATAGGACAGGGGAGAGGCAGGCAAGAGGGACTTTGTAAAGGTAATTGACTGAACTATGTCCAGATCTGACTTTGGTCACTGGATAGGTGATATTTCCCTGCAGTGGTGCAGGGATTGCTTTCTAGAGTTGATGCTGTTGAAAACATAAGGAGGTGAATGTCAGGGACCTAGGTTATAAAGACAGACACCAGTGTTACCACTTCAGCCTCTCTGGCTGAGGGCCTTTGGAAGCTTCATGTACCTTCTATAGCCAATGGCCAAAACCCAACTCTCATATTCTTAGATTCAAGTTGATTGCTAGATATCCCATGAATGGGGAAGGAGAAAGCACAGCTAGACAGGGACACTAACTGTCCAGAGGATCAGGAAATCTTGACAGAGTGAGGCTGGTTCTGCTTGCTCAGCATATGCTTGAAGAAATTTAAGACTATTGTGGGCTTGTCACCTTAACACAAACCTATTTTTGTCAGTTTTAGACAAATACCTTGGGCTAAGAAATGGACTGCTGAGGCTAAATATATACTCCCTTCTGCTGTAAAGCAGAAAGATCTACTTAGGAACAGGTTGGACAGGTAAGGGTAGCCCCTCTTTAACTGCTCAACAAAATTTGCCAGACCCCATGGGTCAGACTGCTAAGATGCCACTTTAATAGGGTGTTGCCAAGAGCAGTGATTATGTTGCTTCCTGTGAGTGTCATAATATTCAGTGTGAGTAAGATGAACATTGCAGGAGTGAATAGAACTGAGGTTTATGTTAAAATCTGACATGCATTTCCAGATAATGTCTTTGGAAAGGTGGGAGTTTCAGTTAGCATTAATTAGTTGTTTTTTAATGTTTCAGTGAGATACGTCCATATCCTTAACATGGAGCTTGAGTTTTTTTCCGTGAGCATCTATGCACAACATGTAAAGCAAATAAATGAATCACAGGCTGGAAGAGATTCTGACCAATCCCCTGGATCACGACAGAAGCAGCAATTACTGCTGTTCCTGGAAGACACTTGTCTAATCCATTCTCAGTGACGTCAAGAGATGGAGATCTCCCACATTCTGAAGGGAAAGTATGTAACCCAGGTAATCCCAGGCATTACAAATCAATTACAAATAAAACAGCAGTTATCCAAGGGATGTACTTTTTATGTTATTTCAGCTGAGAAATGAAAATCAATCATCACCTCAAAATGGGGAAGTTTTAAAGCTGCAGTATTACAATGCTATGATTTTAAGAGTTTCTCAGTATCTGACAGTATCACCAAAGCTGCTTAAGGGCACAGACAGTTTGCCACTGAGATCTGGGTGCAGGGACATGCTTACACTTGGGAATGAGGGTTCTAACTCTCACTAGGAAAGACAGCTCATTGGAGGAGAAGAATCATGTGCATGGCACACTGAACAGTGAGGGTGTCAGGCTCCAATCCAGAAAAACACTCATCTCTGTTCTGCGAAACATTTAAGCATATGAACATTTCAGAGCAAATAAAATATATTTGCCTAGAAGTTAACAATGTTTTTAAGTCCCTTGTTGAAGTGCTAAGGAATGGGCTGACATTTTTGTGTGTTACATTCTTACTGCATTTCTTCTTCTGAAAAATCTTCCACATGGGGATATGTTGTGGACAGTCCAAAGGCTTTTAAGTCACTTCACTTTGTGTTAACTTAGCTGGCTAAACTGAGAATGTAGCTTTTATATAGATTAAGGGAGAAAGGTCTGTTCCTCATGCCCAGCTACCTTTAAAGAATCTATTCTAATACTTAAGTTATTTCCCTAAATTAGACAGCGTAAATACCGGAATGTACCCAGAAAACGTCCGTGGAAACATAACATGAAACTGGTGTCTCAGTTAGAGATTACCTTATGAGTATCATTTATGTGATAATCACACCAAAACTGAAGAGACTTCTATGTGAGTGTTCACCGTCAGTAACAGTGATGGCTGAGGCATTAGGGAAAACGTGGCAGAATAACACAATACATAAAACATCAAAAAAGAATAGATACTAACTAGTGTGAACAAGGCAGTGAGTAACATGTTGAGACATGAGATGTGCACCATAGATTGGTGAATGGCACAGGTTAGGATGGGGTCAGGACACATACACCGTGAAACAGATCACAGCACTGTCAGAGGCAGGTACATGTCATGCTTCTACAGAAATGGATATTCTCAACCATTTCAGCAGATTTCTGTTGGTCTTGGTTTGTAATCTGGTTTCAGTTACATCTGTGGATGGTGAGATATTGTCCTTCCACACACCGAGGTGAACTCAGCTGTTCTGCGACAGCCAGACCGGCTCATCTCAACTCCAACAGAAAGAAAACGGATTCTCAGATGTCTCTATCAGAACTAGACATGATGCAGACTTGTAGGAGGCAGCACAGCAAGGAGGTCAGTAAGCAAATAACCACAACTGCTCTCACAGTAATGAAGTGACTCTTTCTCTATACTCTTCCTTGATGGGAAGCGACAGCAAAGACAGTCATTGCCAGAGATGCCAGCTTGGGCAGTACAATGACAGAGAGAAGATTATGCTGCAGCTTTAGCATCCTGCCCACTGCAGTTTACAAGCAAATGAAACACAACGGAAATGAAATGAGCTGACACCTACTTAGTCTCTTCAGAGAAGAATATTTACTTGGGTTTGTCTTGACTGCAGACTCATAGGATGGTGGGAGGTGAGAGAGGTTCTGGAAGGACCGGGAGAAGGACAGATCATAGGGTTCGGTGGCAGAAGTAAGGATGTTGTTCATCCGTGGCTTGTCTGAAAAAAAGAGAAAAAGACATGTCCATAAAGTATACCAAAACCAGGCGAGAAAGGTGAGAGATTCCCACTACCCTGGCTAGGGAGAAGAGCTCTATCTGGGCCAGCCTTACAATGTGTTCTTAGACTTAATTCAAACTGGCACTGGCGGATCAGTGAAAAATGGAACCTGTGGCTTTGTTTCCCTTAGTGATCGCAGCAATTACGGATAAAGGCAAACTGCTGCCTCGAAAGCCCAACAACCTACCAGACTTTCTCTCAGTGGGAGGGTGGGCCTGGCAAACTGAGTCACCTCACTTATTGTGGAGAGATACATCACTATGTCATGGCCTGACTCCCCTAGAGGCCTGACGTGGCCAGCTCAGATAACATCACTTACCTTTAGTTAGGTGAGTTGTGCCTTCCCTGCGCTCAGAGCTATGGGTAAGCATTTATGAGGGTATTTCAAATGAGACTAATACTCAAACTGTTCTTTCATCATGTTAGATCTCTGCTTAGTGCTCTGAACCTGGAAGATCCTGAGCAAAGCCTGGTCCATGGCCTCAAGGGCCTGGTGGGTTCTACAGCCAGCCAGGGATCCGCTGCACACTTGAAAGTGTGATGTGGAGCAGTGGGGAGGTCATGTCTGGGTGCAGTTAGAAGATGAGGCAAGTTTTGGAGTGATTTCTGAGACAGGGAATTAGGGGCAGTCCATATGGGGTGGAGGATGACCCCTCCCTAGTTATTTTTACTTTGTTGGTCACAGAGGGAGTCCCAGGCCAGTGCCCAAAACGCTGTGTCTGGAAGCAAATGCTGAGGGCACTGTCAATAAAGACTAGCACTGGGCCTGGATGTTAAAAGTCAAGTCCAGGCAATCTGCAGAGTTTGTTTGGCATGGAAATCACACCCTTTTGCCACAAGTTGAATGGAAATGGTCTTTCATCAGCTCAGCTAAGTGACAGGGGGCCTGTTGAATTATAACATTTATATTTCCCAGGTGTTCATATATTAAAATAGGCAGAGGTAAGAGTATTAAAAATAGCAGCAGCTGCAATTGTTGAAAGTAAAGCTAGAAAAGACTACAGGAAGTATGAAGGGGCTCTATGAGGGCTTTCAGCAGTGATGGGATTGCATTAACTGAGTCAAAAGACCAAGGAGGTAGCCACTTCAAGTGTGGTCTGACAATGAAATCAGAGGACAAAATGCTCTGATACAGCTGAGAAGCATTTTTAGCTTTGTTTTGACCATTCCCAGTGTTGCAGGCTACCGGGAAGGGGTGTTATTGGGATGACATAGGGATGCACCTTAGCCAAACCCTACAACGCACCTCCATGCTAAGGAGTTCCCCTACCCTTTGGTCAGTGTTTGTTCACAGTTACCCATGCAAGGCAGAAAGGCAGGGAGGAGGGCCTGTATGCCCACTCTGCATGCAGCAGTTTAGGCCCTTGCAATAGTACCTGGCTCCATTATTGGGACATAGGGTCATCCCGGATATGATAGAGCTCTCATGCATACTTCCTTAAGGGACTCTGCTGAGCTTCCCTGGTGTCTATACGATCTGGAAGCTCCCTTGCCCATGGGATTGTCTAGAGCATTACAGGACTGACCTAGCACAAATGGGATGTTAGATTTCTACTGCACAGCTCAGCTTAAGGACTAGGATGAGTAGGGCTGGTGGCCAGTATCAAGAGGAAGTTACTTGACTTTTGGCCAGGAACAACCAGGCCATAAAACTATGAATTGCACAAGAAAACCTCCAGAACACCCAAAAGTCTTGGGTGCACACATTCCTGTTGTGTACCCCTCTGAAGTGTGCTCATGAAGAGCAGTGCAATGTGTGTTCATTATTCATCCAAGTGCCTCAAGCCCCCTTTTACATCCCCTGATCCAGGGAGTGGTGTGGATTCCAGAGCAGCTTCTGCCCAAAAGTTATGGAGCACCAGGGGAGTTTCACCTTGATAAATTTGCTGGCTTTGTGCAAACAGTGTCCAAACATTTGCCATCTTCCCTTTTCTCCCAGCAAAATTTGAAACAAAATCCACTCAAGCAGAGCACAGTTCTTTCCTCAGACCCTTTTATAGACCTGAGGCCCAAATTAGACTGTTCATTTCCTTTATAAGGAACAAAAAATCTTGCAGAAGTTAATCTCCTCCTCCCTGTCCCAAACTCATCAACTCCTGCCTGAAGCCTGATGGAGTCCTGTTTGCATTAGAGAGCAAAACATTTCCTTCCATTCATAGTGCTCACATTTCACAGACTTCCTTGGTGTTCAATTTTGCCTAAAAACGGACCTTGCAGTTGTCACATGTATCTGTATGTGGGGACGCAGAGCTGCCTCCACAACCTTCCTCCCATTGCAGCTTCCTCCTAGATATCTTACACTTTCTATCACCTACCCCTCACATCATTGTACACATGCTTCTCCACCATAGAGAAGCTGAGACAGTCTAGTCTTCCTGCAGAAACCCACTCATTCTTGCCCAAAGCCAGCTTGCTCAGAGCCCTGTCCTGCAGATCTCAGCAGAATCACACCTTCTGTGCTCAATTCAGAGGCCTAAAAGCAGGCATCTAGAGCCATTTTGGGTATTCCAGGGCATCTGAGAAATCCACACAGGGCTGGATAAAATGATAAGGGACCAATTAGAGACCTGAGCCACTCATGTTTGGGTATGTGAATTACGGTCACCATGTTAAACCAAACCAACATTTGTTCCCTTCCTGTCCCTGTTGCCAATTCCATATACTCTGCTGCTCCATGAACTTCCTTATGACATAGCCTCCTGTGGAACAAAATGCACCAACGCACTCTTCCATAGGAACTATGTCTGGATGACTTTGAGTAGAGGATCTGCATTCACTCTCCTTCAGTGCCAGCCTGGCTCCAGCATGGGATGCCCCATTCTGTGTCATCCTGCACTGCTGCCAGCACAGCAAGGGCAGGAGGAAGGAAATGGATCAGTCAAGAAGAGGACCTGCAGCTGCATTGCACTCTTCAAGCGCATGCATACTATCCTCTGGACTCAACAACCACTCAAACCCAGTGTAAACTGCCTGACAGAAAAGGAAAAGCACAGCTCTCTAGCAGAACAGCATTCTGGTCCCAGTTTGAGAAATCATGAGGCACTTTCTTACAGATTTCAGGGATGGTGAAAATTTCCTTTTAACAATGCAATAAACATACTAGTTAATAAATGCTTCTTTCCTATTGCTTATGCATGTCTTCACACTGCTGAAATAAGGTTATTAAATGGTAAAAAGAACATAACCCCAAGTGAGTATATAGCTAATGTGTCATCTCTCTGAGAACATTATTTTCTTACTGATGACTTCAATCCATGTCTAATAGACTGACCGTAGGATTAGGAAGAGCATCGTATTCATCAGGGTGCTGGAAACAATTGATTAGATATTATCCAGTAAACAGAGACTATATCAGCACTGAAACTATGTCCATGCTCCTATTTGTGCTTGTGTGGCAAGGACCCTGGGGTAACATCTCTTTGCAAATTTCTCAGTCAGAACCTGTATCTAATCTCCATTTCGCATGGAGGCTTGGATGAGCTGAAATAAGACTAGTTGTATGTATGGAATTTGTGTTCAGTGCCAGAGCAGGAGCATTAATTGACTGCTTGCATGAGGTGTGTGAAATTAAGTGCCACACATTTATCTGATGGGCTTGTGCAGAATTAGTACATCTTTTTACTGCTTTTTCCATCTAGTCAGTCAGGAACAGACTATAATGATTCTGGTAAATGAGAGGTCACCTTGAAAGCCACTACCCATCATTCAGCAAAATAAGGGATAAACTGAAATGACTAAAGATAATTTCAGATGGCTTTGCATAATGTAGTTTGAGGGCAAGATCAGAGAACTCAGAGGCTCTGTTAAGGAGAAGTATCTTGTGAAATTTATTTTCTGTGACCAGTTAAGCAGAAGTTTCTTTGTGGTTCTTTACTCCAGCAACAAGTCAGATGTTTCCCTGGTCTCACTCTTGTTAATGGTGTTTATTGGCTCCTGTGGCAGAGGTGGGACATAATGGTACAGATTTCCTATTCACCACAACACATCTGAGATAGCACACTGCTCCATGCTCCAGCATTCCCATTCATTATAGTTCAGCTCTACATTCTAGGCAATGATGGACGCCCACTGAAAAAATGGACAAAATCCCATTACTGGGGGCTACCTTTAAAAGTCAATGTTTATCCACATTTGCCTCACCTCCATCCTGCAGCCATGCCCCATTTTATCCATCTCTAATGCATCATGCTTCCTGGCCACAATGTGCAAAGGTGTTTGCAGAGGAACAAGGAGGAAATGAAACTTACCACATTGCATAGGATAAACAACGGAGATGGGAACATCATCCATACATCATTTGGTTGAAGGATAATTTTTCTAAATTCTCTTTGCTATAGCCTCAAAGTAGCGACATCTTTCTACAACCAATGCAACATCTCAAAATTCTGGCAGAGTCTCTCTGGTTAATTCAACAGCAGAGGGCTCAGCTTTGCAACATTTCTTAATTTCACTGATGCACTGAGCATCAGTGGTTTCACAGTGCTCATGCTAGGGTGCTGCATTGTTCCAGCCACTGGAACAAGGCTAGTGGCACAGCATAGCATTGCCAAACACACAAGGCTGCACAACACTGGCATCATAATCACACAATCACAGAATCGTTTAGGTTGGAAGGGACCTCTGGAGATCATCTAGTCCAACCGCCCTGCTCAAGCAGGGTCCTCTAGAGCACACTGCACAGGATCACATCCAGACGGCTTTTGAATATCTCCAGCGAAGGAGACTCTACTACCTCTCTGGGCAACCTGTTCCAATGCTCAGGCACCCTCACAG